TGTTCATTGCAGTGCCTCTGAAAAAGAAAAGTAAGAAGCCTGTACAGTATCAAAGGTAATTTTTAAAAGATGACAGGTTCCATGAGGTTTAAGTGCTTTTTGCAATGTTGGCTCAAATGTAACAATAGGAACCAACACACTGCAGTTTCTGCTTGAATATTTCTTGTCCAGGAGTCTGTTTTTGTAGCAGAAAACAAATATTCTCCATCAACTGCACTGGCAGCTTTATCTCTCTGTAATAAACAGGCAAGACATATTACACTGAAACACCATCAAAGGACAATGGAAGGACAACACACACCACAGATGCTCAATTTTAGGGTTTATTTCATCTGCTAACATTCATCCTTGATCTAGACAAAAACAATTAGATGATTTTTTTAAATTTTATTTTTCTTGTGGAAGAAAAAACCTTTTAACACTTTTGTAAGATGCTATAAATAAATATATAAAGCTTTAAGTGTTACTCGGCTCAAGTTAAAACAGTTGCCTTTTATTTTTTGTTGGTTTAAAGTTCCTGAAGTGGGGGGGAAAGTGCAAACCATACACATTTAGCCCAATGGAATGAGTCCAGCCACAGTCACCTTCAGAGAAGCTGAATCTGATCTACAACATGGAGGATGGAAGGCAGGTGGGGGACAGTTGTATTTTTTTACCCTCAGTCACACAACTCCTAGAGGAACTGAGTTCCTTGGTAAGTAAAACACAGAAGAAAGGGGAGAGGAAGAAAAAGAAAATCCTGCCTGCATTGACCTTTCCCTGCCCTGTGCAGACTGTGCAGCAGAGAGGAAAGAATATAAGCAAGGTCCCAGATGAATGGAAATGACAATGCAAACCAAAATCAGATAGCTGTAGGGATGTTGAGAAATCCTCTGCCTCTTGTGTGTTTGACTGGAAGACTATACATAAACACACAGGAACTTCACATTGAGAGAGGATGGGGATTTTTGTCTTCTCCTTATGGAAAAAAAAAAGATTAAAAGGGGCATTAAAAATAAGTTAAATCATATTCCAATATGTACAAAACAAATCATGCTCAGTAAACCTTTTGAATATAAAATTATTCATTATAGTACAACTCTCTCAATCCAGTCTCTAGAATTGACACGTGAGGGAACTGAACAGGGAGGGGGAATTGTAGGGCTCTCAGGAGACAGACTCATTGCAAATCTGGCTTTTTTCATCTTGCATGTCTAAGAATTACAGAGCTGGGACAACACAGGCTTTAACACCCATGTGCTCATCAGGGCTGCATTCACCTTGGCAGAATTCCTGTGGATGGGGTAAAACAAGCAGCCATGGATAGCTGGGATTGTGTGCCCGGCTCACCTGAGCTGCTGCACACTGACCTGTGCTACAATGGCTTGGAACACTCCAGATCAGGCAGTGGATCCCATGCTCACTTTTGCCTCTGGAACACGAACTGCTAGCATTAGTGGAAGTGAAAGGAAGAATAAAAAGAGAACACAGCCAGCCCTGGGATTTGAGTCCAGCAGATAGTGTCAGCTGCATGCCAAGCTACAGCTCTGGGAATACAGCACTAAGCACAGGTTGGGGATGAATTCCTGGAGTGCCACCCCTTTTTTGTGACGACTGGAGAAGTCTGTGGGGTCTGGGTAACTCTGAACACCAGTGAGACAGACATCAGAGATGCTTTTAACCCCAAGGTATGAACCTTGGCTAGGCCCTGTGCTGTGATGCTACCATCACCTTCTGGAGCTGCCCACTGCTCTCTGAAGTGACCTGACTGGCTCAGAGGGAAAACTTCCTAATTGTACTGCCATGGGGACTCCTCCTGCCTTGGTCACACTCTCAGAACTGCACTGCTCTTTTCTGCTCTAACAGGACAGCCCTGGGAGAGAGGATTCAAAACCTTATTGGGATCTTTCTAATGCTGCTTCCATTGTCATCCCATTTCTATAAGCAAGTAAGGGACTGTGGGGTGCAAAAGCATCAACTGAAGTGCTCCTCATTATTCCAAAATGTTGGGCATAAAGGGAGAAATTCAGACAAGCCAGAAATTCACACTGACCCTTTTCTGACTTTTTCTTTTTTTTTTTGTTTATGACTTTGAACCCTGTGACAGCCTGGGCTGGCAACCTTACCGGTCAATCCTGCATTTTGTGACCTGGACAGGGTACAAGGTGGCATCTGTCTGGAAAACCTTGGACGAGGCAAACTCCTTCAACAGAGCTAACTAGGATGAGACTAACCAGCAAGAAAATGTTTTCTTCAGCAAGAACACCCACCAAGCAGTGATGTTTTCACTGTTTAGGCGACTAAAAGCAAATTGACTTCTGTGCCCCAAGAAGTCACAAAGTCCCTAGGGGACAAGTCCAATCTTGCACCTGCCTGCACTGCTCCCAGCACTCTCCTAACCTGACCAGGACATGATACACTGACAGACCCCCTGAAGAAACACTTCATGTCCTGAAGAAGTTTTGGGGTGTCTGGAAGTCACAGGAAAAACCTTTTGAAAGAAAGAGGCAGATATTGAACAAGAATCTACTATCTGGCCACTACTTCTGCCGGAGTGCCTTAAAACTGTTCTTCTCCATTCATTTTAAAACTACACACACACACTTTTTATGTTATTGTAGCATCAAAATATCAGTCCTAAAAAGAAAAGAAATAGTACCACTTTAAAGTGTGGTACATATAAATCACAAAAAACTACATTCACATTATGTTAAAAATCCCTTCCCTTGTACCCACTAAAGGAAGAAGACAGTGCCAGGTATGTCCTGCAACCCATGTTCTGGTACACAGCACTTAAAATCAATTAACAGCCAGAAGCAGACCAGCACAGCAGCCAGGGTGAGGGAGGGCTTTTGGGTGATTCTGTTCATTCTCATTACTCATAATCTGTTTCAAAGTGTCCTGTACTTTTCATACCTTGGAGTACTCTTTTAGAGTCCCTAAATTTGTTACTCCCAGTGTAGAGGTGGAAAAACTGAGGCATTTGCATGGGTGCAGGATTTAAACCTTGAAACTTCTGCCTCAGTACTGAGGTCAGCCCTCCTTTTGTGGCTGAAATGAAACTGTTAACCAAAGACTGATTTCAATATAATTTCATTACTTTTGCTTGTTCCTGCAATACATTACAAAAAAAAAAAAAAAAGGTTGGTGCAACGTCTTCTAATGACATGCTTCTAAGGTCAGAGGCTGCTTCTGATTTAGACAACCCTGCAGACAGATTCATTAACATCCAGCTGGTTACTCAGAGCCTGTAACACAGAACAGCTCAGGGAGACACAGCCTAATCACAATCCTGCTCTGAATCCCATACAGTCCTAGCAGAGAGACACAAACAGGGATTAGCTGCAGGAACCCCTCGTGCCTTATGGATCCACCACACAGGACACACCCTGAAAAGCTTTTGGGGAAAGGCGGAAACTGTGCATGTGCAGCAACAGTTGGTTTTTATATCTCATGTGCTGGTCTTGTGGGAAAACAGCCTGCAAAGTTTCATTTTTAAAATACACATGTTTTCTGTAGTTACAGCAAAATGTAGAAGTACTGGCAAGTAGCAGACATAACTTCTGCCAGCCTTGGGATTCAGAGATGAGCAAATGGACTTGTAATAACCTTCTCTTCCCCCAAACCAACCACCAAATACTGCTTCATTTTGCTCCATAATTTTCATCCAGGAGGAAATGCTTATGGCCAAGCTACACATATCTGGGAACAGGAGCCATTCTGTGGAAAAAGCACTGGCACAGCCTTAAAGACATGGACAGAACCAGCACCTACTGGTTCCAGCCAAATGTGTGGCTGACAATGTCCTGCTGTGCTTGCAGGCAGCTGAGTGTGCGCTTGTGCACTCTGCAGCAGCAGGATCAGACCAGGACCTGACCAAAATCCACCTGAAATCAAGAGGAAAGATATCCTCTGACTCTGGTGGACTTTGGCTCAGGGCTGTACAGAATTTTGTTTGAGCCCTCAGGGCTCTTTGTGTTTTTCCTTCTCAGGTTTTTTAGCTGTCTTTGCGCTTCAGGAGAAAAATGTATCCAAAAGCAAGGTGTATCCCTCCCAGAAGCCCTTCCTTTGCAAAACTCAGTCTGACCTTGAAACTGCTGGAAACAGTGCACAGAGGCAGAGAAAGCATTAAAATCCAAACCAAGCAGCACACAGTGGACCTATGTGATGGGAAAGGGATGCTGTAAAAATGACATGCTAAAGTTGAGTTCATCAGCTCTCTGCCTCTTCTCCAGTGATTTCAATGCCATATTTGATTTGCAGTTAACGTGGCCTTTGAACATGAAATCCTATTCCATTTGGTTCAGAGTTTACCCTAAGCAATAGCTGTTTCAGGTCTTACAGGCTGAGTAATAACAGAGTGAGACACGAACCAGGCAAAAACTGCTTCACTTCCATGCTTCCAGCCAAACAAATAAGTGCTTGCAACAGCAAAAAAATAAGCCATATTTTAATTTGGTGAGTGGAAAGAGGAATTAGAGAAGTCGTTGTTCTGTCTCAAAAGTCAGTAAGCAGAACCTGGTTAGACTGTCCCCACGCTGGAGGATTAAACTTCCGTGAGGCCCTAAAAAACAGCATTGAAAGTGTTGTGCTTTGAGAGTGGTCTGAGACTACAAAAACACTATCCATGATTCCCCTTTCCAGTTTTATGAACACAGCTTGTTCATTTAAAATAAGGGCTGCAGAACAGGCACCCTGCCAAAAGACAATGTGCACTGTCTCATAATTAATTTAGACCCATAGTCAGAAATTTTCACAGCTCTGGAAGAGAGCCCCATCCTGTCCCCACTTAAATCAGTTCTAGTGACTTTACTGGAAGCAGGCTGATGCCCATTACCTCTTGATAAAAGCAAGTAAAAATAACTGAAATAATACAGCTAGGGAAGGTCTGTATGCTTATTCTGTGTCAGTATTTCTCATAGCAACAAACAAAACAAAATCACCCCCTTGTCACATTCCCATTAGTGACACATCATTTGCAGGGTCTGAATTTTTTGCGGATTTATGAAGGAGTTATTACATTTTTCTTCCTTTTTTTTTTTGGTAGTATGTAGGATAGGGTTTTTGTGTGCTGTTAACACACAATACTGATAGTGGCTTGAGTGGTAGTGCTGACAGGACAACATGTGAATGCAGGTTTGAGTCTATGGTTGGCTCTTAACTTGTTTTGGGACCTGTCTGGGAAACAAATCTGGGAGTTTTGTGTACAAATTCCCCATTATTTTTGTGATGAAGCTGCATATATATATGTGATACCAGTACAATGAATCAGAACCACTGTGCTAAGTACATTTCCCAGGCCATAGTCAATTTAATGTTTCTCATCCTCTGACTGGTTTTCTTTTTTTTTTTTTTTTTTTTTTTTTTTTTTTTTTTTTTTTTTTTTTTTTTTTTATGGTGCTCTACTTTCTGGCAGTGGCTGCCAGCTGAAATGCTGTGACTGCCTGTGTGCTCAGATCCCAGCCTGACAGGATGGCCCATCCACAACTCAGTCACCATTATCAGTTACTGACAAACAGTGCAATTCCCATCCCACCTCCCCCACAAAAGAAAACCTGTTTCCTTGTTTTTTAATTGTGTATCTTTAGATCATTAGGCTCAGGGGATAAAAAGATTTTTAAAAAATCCAACTTCTGCCATTTGTGTTAAAATCATGAGGATAAGAAACATTCTTCTGTATTTGGCCTTATGCTTGGGTAACAGCATTTGTGCATTTTTTATCTCTGCATTAGAATGTTGACCCTTTTTTTATTTTTATGCATTTATTGATTTTTTTAAGAATCTCATCGGTCTTGTAAGAAACAGTAAAAAGACCCTATACTCAAGGAGCAATCTACCTTCTGTTTTACAGACTTGTTTTTAAATAAAATATTTTTTTGTTTTTGTTTTTTTGTTATTTTTACTTCCACCATCTCTCATATGGAAACCCTACAATATCATTAATATAAAAGTCTGCCTAGGCTACCACTTCTCTATAATATGGCTCATGTAGTCCTCAGTGGGCAAACGTCCTTGCTCCTCGGTCTCTTCCTTGGGAAGCGCTTCGTTGGAGCGGTGCAGGAGCCTCTCCTCCCGGTTCCTGATCCTCTGCTCCATCCTCTCCAGCTGCCTCTTGTACTGGTAGCGCTGCTGGAAGAGGTCCTTTGCATAGTCATAGAGCTGCATGTCCAGGTCGTTGAGCTCCTCGATCCTGCGGATGGTGTCGTTGTCCACCTCCACGCCGCCCGCCCGCGTGCTGTTGTACTGCATGAAGGGCCGGATGAACTTCAGGTTGAAAGTCCTCTCAAACAGGTACTGAGTCTTTCTCTGGAACTCTGTCAGGCCGAAGAAGGCCATGTCTTTGAGGTTTTTTTTGGCGCTCTCCAGCAGGATCTGTGCTCGCTTGTTCTCTGGGATGAAGGACATGTTGTAGCAGCCCACCAGGCTCAAGTCAGCCAACATCCTCACCTGGCGGTTGTTGGCCAAGTTGTAGGGGCAGTCCATGAACTCCTGCAGTGTGCAGCCTGACCAGTCCGTGCCCTCGTAGCATGAGGGCAGCTCTTCAGGAGTGGGTGTCCTGCCATCACACATGTGCAAGGAGGTCTTCCAAGTAGCTCCTCGTTGGACGTGACGCCATTCGCTGAGGTAACGAGAAACGGGGTCTCTCAGCAGAGTGATGTAGTAAAATTTTCTACAAGGAGAAGAGAAAACAGGATAAATATTCTTCTAGTGCAGACAGCAAAAACCTGAGAGTAAATCAACATGACATCATCCATCCAACTGTATTTCTGGGTTGTTTTTATCATGCAATATCTCATGCAAAGCCCTTTGTGCAACATTAGACCTGTGTTTCTCATTTTAGCCTTGCCAAGTAGTAGCACCTTCACCAGGCTGTCCATTGCCAACAACAGACTTCAAAGTCAGAACAAATCACCAGGACTGAACCCATTCCTTGACTTCAGAGAGCAACTGTGGCTCCTGGCACTGCCTGGCCTTTCCCACCAAGCACTGGGTGCCTGCAGTGCCAGCCAGGACCTGCTCCGAAGGATAGCCCAGCAGCCTGTCTGTGAGCTGGGCCTATCACTCCATGCAGATGCTGACCAGGACACCCACTGCTTTGTTGATCTGGCTGCTGAGCTGAAATATGGGAGTCTGCAGCAAGTAGCAGGATAAAACCATGGAACATAAATGAAAAACAATAGGAAATCAGGAATGCAATATGCTTTGCAGAAAGAGAAGGCTGAGCTGACAACCAGCAATAGCAGCAATAATTTATTCCCATTTTAGTCAACCTGGTACTAAATCAAACAAACTTCAAACACACTTTTGACACGAGACTAAATAGAAGGGAAAAGCAAGACAACCAGGAAGAGCACACATAATGACAGGGGGTGTTCTTGCTGTTCTAAGTACAATGAAGTCCTCAACAATAGAAGCTGTCCCTAGAACTGAAAACATGACAGCTGTCTCTTAACAGAGACCCTCTGGCTTCAGCCCATGGAGTTCTGGGATTGACAGAGATGGCAGTCTGCAATGGCCCTCTCCACAGAGAGAGAAGTGGGCTTTTCTTCCCTAACTGCCAGCAGCGTGGGACTGAGGTGTCTTTGTGTTTCCAGAAGGAGGAAATGCCTTCTCTAGCTCCTAAAGCTGGCACGTGCTTTCAGGGCATGGGGCTGTGACACTGAGAACACATGGGAGCACCTGGCTTTGGCAGGAACACACACATGCAGCTGGGAGTGTTTCACAAAAGGGTGGTGGAGGATCCATGTCCCCATCAGAAATGCATCTTCAGAATGCTGCTAGGGCTCTTTGCCTTGCCAGCACTGTTCAGGAACACCAAATGGAATGGCCACTTAGATGGCAGTGAACAGCTTTTGGAAGAAAATATAGTAAAAGTATTCTGTTTTGGCTAATTTTAACAGATCCCTGTTTTCCTAGCACCTTCAGTATTATTCTTCCTATTACTAACCTAAATTTCTGCAATAAGAGCAATTTAGTTTTAAAATAATACATCAGAGCCATTGCCCAGGAAGTCTCATATTAAGTAATGTGTCCTTTCCTAATTCATTATAAACCTGCTGAAGGGCTGTTTCAAAGCAGTCAGTTTTGGTCTTTCCAACAATGGCAGGGGGTGTCCACCCCAGCTCCAATTCCTCTCCTGCTTTCTGCCTTCATAATGAGGGCTGGTACAGATATTTGTTCATTTTGGAAACCATTCCATCTCTCTTCAATAGTAAGAGTATCTCACTGTTTAGTATTACTATCCAGTTACTGTCTGTGTACAGGCACAGGGAGAAAAAGGGGAGCAGATATTTTCTTTTAAAGACTTTAAAAACCTACCTCTTTTTCCTTCCTTTACTTTGCAGCCTGCAGTGATTCCACTACCCTGACTGAGAGGCAGCTATAATTCATACAGACTGAGCCAAGAAACCTCCAATAGATGGGATAAAATACAGCAGTGGGAAGGAGAGCAGTGATGAATGCCAGATGTTTGATGACAGACAGTGGTGCTAAACACTATCAGCAGTTTTTGACTTGTGAACTGCAGTGGATTTTTATTTTCACTGATGTAATCCAAAAGTTGCATTTTTCACTGAGCAGGTCGAAGCCATTTATTATTTTGTGGCTACAGATGCAACTAGAAGGTTGCTTCTCCCCGATCCCTAAGATCAGGGACTCATTTATGTGTGAGGTAACCACAGACAAAGGAGGAGCTGATTCCTGTCCAAACATAACATATGCCACCTATACAAATGTGGATAGGGAAAAAAAAGAGGAATTGGTATCTGCATTTGGCAGACAGGGGAACCACAAACATTAAATGATGTGCATAAAGTCAAATAGAAGTGTCAGAGTTGGCATGAATCTGATACCTGCAAGGCTGAGTCCAGCTTATCTTCTCTCTGTGTCTCTGTTTAAACTTTAGGAGACTGTTAGTAAATCAGATGAATAAATATCGTGCAAAGCTTCTGGAGTCTACTGAAACAGAGACATTGAACAGGATGTGGATTGAAAAAAGTTTAAAGAGCAGGAACTTCTTTCTTCACACTGCACTCTAAGAGCTATTGCCTTTGTCAATGTAAGAACCTGGTAAATATTTTACCATGAGGGATTTTTCTCAAGGATTTATCTCAATGAATGAAAAGCACAGGAAATAGGTTACAATTTTAGAAATTCTACTTTGAATTCAATTTTCCCCTTTCTAGGTCTGTCACATAGAAAAGTGCTTGAAGGAAAGAGCTTGCCTCCTAACACAGAAATCAGATTTGTCTTTGGAAACTGGAACCAGGCCCCTGGAAGTACTTAAGGAGGCTGCCCCAATGGGCATAAATAAAATAAAATAAAATTTTTAAAAAACCCAAACAAAAAAGCCCCAACAAAAAAAAAAACAAAAAAACCAAGCAAACAAACAAACCCCCCCCCCCAAAAAAAAACCAAACCCAAACCAAACAAACAATAAGCCTAACAAACAAAACTAAACAGAGACTTTACAGCAAAAGAAGCTTTAACTGCCTAAGTTGAGGTGTACCATTTACATAGTGAAAGTTATGCTCCCAAATTTGTATTTAGCTTTCTAGAAAGATCTTGGTTTCTGAGGAGCAGATTCCCTCAGCCCTCAGGCAAGTGAGCAGCACACCTTCCAAGGGACTGAGACCTCAGGAGCCACAGGAGTGAGCTACTTGGATATTAGAGGGATGACAGTGCAAATGTTCACTCAAGGAACTTCAGATACTGAAAGTTCTGTTTTTGAAGTATAATTTAGGATTGCCTTTAAGATCAGAGAAAAATTAGGTAACTGTAAATCATCATCCATTAGCAGTCAGCAAGCTGAGGGAACTCTGTTCCAGCATGGTTGAGAACACAGGCAATGCCACTTATTAACAGTGGCTTGGAATTCATGAGGAACCACATGACTAGTACTTTTTTTTTTCTCATCAAAGATAAAATAAACCCGTAAACCTCATGCAGCTGCGAGTGCCCTTCATTCAGCATGGTGACCCAGACAGCCACTTAACTTTAGTGCTCCTAAAGGCTCCTTTCAGAAGCGTAGTCTTCTCCTAGGCCAGATGGTTCCACTCAATAGTGCCTCATAAAAAAGCTCCAGTTTGGTCATGCAGGGTCATATCTCACTGTTTTTTCTGGACTTAACAAGCTTGAGCAAGACAAATGGACAGTGGAGTTAGTAAGATTTTTTTCTACCACATGAAGCTGAGCAGAGCAGCATTACTGCTCTTGGAGCTCCCTTCCCCACACCCATGGGGCTGTGATCCCCAGGGGCACAAGGACAAGCAGAACAAAGTCACACCTCTGCCCTTCCTTGCATTGCTGCTCCTGGCAGTCCCAACATGGAAATCCACCTGAAAATCCACCTCTGAGGCATTTGCAGAGTTCACCTCAGACCTGCATGCAAGCTGCACAGTGCCCAAGGCAAGAATCCCTGGCATATTTATTAAACAGAACAGAACAAAAAGAATTGTTTTGATCAACAACCCTGTACCTGAACTGAAGTTTCAGGAAGAACAAAATCCAGCATTAGAAAGGAAGGCCAACCTTGTGGTCATAATACACAAATGAATTCAGGAAACTTCACTTGATGTGCCCATTCTGTCAAAATTAGCCCGCTTGTCCCAGACAAAGCTCTCTCTCCCCGCCTCTGTTTCCCATATGTGAAGGGCTGACAATGTCTCCTTTGTCTGTTTTGGAAATTCAAAACATAACATTTTTTGGAGCAGGAGCTGTCTCCTTGCAGGATTATGCAAAGCCCCTGTTTCGGCATGGATTGAGGTCAGAGGACAATGGTTAACTGCAGGCATATTTTCATGACACGGGTGTCAGAGGCACCACTGCCCTACAGGATTCCCACCCAGACCTCTCCTTCCCATTCTCACATAGCAGCACAAAGCAGTCTCAGTTTTGCCAGCAGAGTTTTGGGGTTTTTTTTTTTAAGCAGGGCCATGCTGCAAATGCAGTCACTGAGCAGCTTGGGGTTAAAAATAACCCTTTGTTGCGTGGCTGAAGCTGCCATTTAGCAATATTCTATCTTAATTCCTGTCAACAGGTTCCTCAGCTAATGAAGGGGAAATGAAACCCTTCTTCCTCTAAAAACTCAATTCCTTCTCTTTTGCTAATAACCAGTCAAGATAATTCTGATAAAGTGACAGATTCTAAATATGATGCTACCATTTCTCTTCAGTTAATTTCCACTCTTTTTTAAATGCCAATGCATCCTTCTTACTGCTGCTGGTCTCTAAATTCTGACAAGAACTGCTTATTTGACTGTGCAATTTCCCTGTTTTTTCCTGTGCTTAAATGCTTCCTCCCACTTGGCCATTTTTCTTTTTCTTTTTATTTTTATTTTTTAATTTTTACAGGTTCTTTACTGAGCTTTCAAGCATTCCTCCCAGGAAAAGCAAAGTATGTAACAAGTCCTTTTTGATTACTGTGGTGGCCTTCCAACAGATAAAGAACAAAATACAGTTAGCCACTTGCAATCATAAATGCTTCATCTGCCTGCCAGGAGGGGGAAGGGGAAGGAAGCTGCATAGGTCAGCTTCAGCCATATAGCCCCAATCTGTCAAAGCAACATTCCCCCAGGCTACACTTTTTCTACTGCTAAAAGAAAAAAAAAAATTAAAAATCATTCTATATCTTTGCTGAATTAACTGAGCAGGGGGGGCTGCCATCTTGTGG